CCCCCAGCCCCGCCCCGCCCCACCCACCCTGCGCGGCAACAGCAAGCAGAAACTGGCTGTGGCGCTCATCTCTGGCTGGGCTTGGTGGGCACTTCCTGGGGGTGTTTGTTGTTGAGGGTGTGGTGGTTTCCCTCTGAGCCCGTCCTTCCTCTCTGGCTGGTGTCCCAGTCTCAGCCGGGGCTCCCCCTTCCCTCTCAGTTCCTTAACACTGCTGACCGCTGGGGCTCCCCCTTCTCGGGCTGGGGGAAGTGGCTGTAGGTGGTGCTGGGGTCAGCTGGGGTGGCGAGGGCGCCTCAGGGGGGCCCAGGACAACTCCAGCAGCCCCTCCCAGTCTCTCCGCCCTCCCTCCCCTCACTCTGGTTGCTGAGGGGACACTGACTCTCCAGCCCCCAGGCCAGAGATCTCAGTGTGCAGGTGGGCGGCTTCCTCTCAAGGCTGCAGGAGAGGGCCTGCCTTTGCGTCTCTCTCCAGCTTTGGGTGGGCTCAGGTGTCCTGGGCAGGGGCAGCGTCACCCCTGCCTCCCTTTACAGGCCCCACTCTTCTCTACCTCCCATGAGGTGCTGGCTGCTGGCATTGGGGCCCACACCCAGGATGATCTTACCTCAAGGGGCACAAAGACCACTCTCCCGCCAGGCTGCAATGTGCAGCTCCCAGGGCTTGATAGGAGCAGGCTAGCTTCTGCTGATACCCGCTGGGAGCTGCAGCCCAGGGTTTCTTCTCTGGACAGGGTCAGGGTCAGCCTCTCTGGACAGCCTCAGACCCAAGCAGTGACCTTGCTCCCCACCCGAAAGACATCCCAGTCTTGGGACTGTGTCTGACCTGCTGCTGTCCCCACCCCCCACCCCCCACCCCCGTCTGTGGCCCTGACACTGCTGCCCCTCCCACAGTGCGGCTGACATCTACATCCGGGAGTATTTCCACAGCTACGTCAGCCACGGCCATCCCGAGGCCACGCCGCTCCGGGTGATGTACCAGGACCGCCCACCCAGCCAGACGGACTCGGCCACGCTGCGATACTGCTGCCTGACGGAGGACGGCCGGGCCTTCCGAGCACCAAAGCAGGCTGAGTTGCAGCAGCACCGCATTGTGGTCAGCACCACGTCACAGGCGCGTGAGCTGCAGGTGCCTGCCGGCTTCTTCTCACACATCTTCATCGACGAAGCGGCCCAGATGCTGGAATGCGAGGCCCTGACCCCACTGCGCCACGCCACGGCGCACACACGCCTGGTGCTGGCCGGTGACCACCTGCAGGTCACACCCAGGCTGTTCAGCGTGGCCAGTGGTCATGCGGCCAGTCACACGCTGTTCAACCGCCTCTTCCTACACTACCAGCAGGAGGCGCACTCAGTCTCCCGGCAGAGCCGCGTGGTCTTCCATGAGAACTACCGCTCCACCCAGGTCATTGTGGCCTTTGTCTCCCGCCATTTCTACCTGGCCCAGGGCAACCCCATCCACGCCAGCGGCAGAGTCCCACGCCATCCCCGCCACTACCCGCTCATGTTCTGCCACGTGGCGGGCAGCCCGGAGCGGGACATGTCGCAGACATCCTGGCTCAACCGGGCTGAGCTCCTCCAGGTGGTAGAGAAGGTACAGGAGGTCTACGACACTTGGCCCCCATGCTGGGGCAGCCGGGAGCAGCGACTCATCTGTGCAGTGTCCCACGGCGCCCAGGTGAGCCTGGTGTGGTCCGAGCATGGCCGGTGTGGGGGTCCCACGGCTGCTCTGCACCTGGCCCTGGCCCTGGGCCACACTTTCCCTGGGCTCAGCAGCCAGTGGCTTGCCCCTTTTCTGTCCCTGTGGAGACAGACCGAGAGGCTGGCCCAGTGTGTCCTCGGGGTGGGAGGACTCAGGGCTGGGCCGGTGGACCTGCTGACCGGCTGCACCTCCAGGTCAGTGCCCTGAGGCAGGAGCTGCGGAGGAAGCGCCTGGCTGAAGTGTCCGTGGGCAGCTTTGAAATCTTGCCAGGTTAGGGGGGGCCCTGGGCCAGGCAGGAGGTGACCACCCTCAGCACTGCTGAGGGGCCCCCTGGGGAGAATGACATGTGGGGGCACTTTCTGTACCGGGCTGGTCGCCCCGCCCCATGTGGGGGCCTGGGAACCCACAACCCATCCTGGACCCTCCCTCTCCCAGACTCTCAGTTCCAACTGCTGACTCCCCTGGGCTCCTGCCAACCCCTGACATGAACTCCCTGACTCCTGGCTCCCTGCCATGTCCCTCAGGGCATGAAGCGGTCTCCCAACACCCCCGACCCCCTAACCCCATCATGTCATCCCAGGGAGGGAAGAAGTCTCCCTGACCTTCTGAGCCACGTGCCCCCCAACCCAGTGTGACGAGGCTCCCACCCCCAAGCCTACTGCCCCACCCCCATATCCCCCTAGAACAGGAAAAGGTCCCCCAGCCCCTCTTGAGCACCACCCCCACCATGTCTCTCCAGGGCAGGGAGAAGTTCCCCAGCCCCCCGACCCCCTGACCTCCCAATCTCTCCTCCAGAGGTCCCCCAGCCCCCTGACCACAGACATCCCAATGCCCCCCAGGCCGAGAGTTCCGGGTGGTGGTGCTGAGCACAGTGCACACGTCCAAGAGCCTGCACAGCCCAGGGGCGCCGAGTCTGGAATTCTTCACCGAGGCCCGCGTGCTTAACACGGTCCTGACGCGGGCGCAGTCGCAGGTGGTGGCTGTGGGTGACGCTGTGGCCCTCTGCTCCTTTGGGGCTTGCCGCCGGCTGTGGAAGAGTTTCATCCGAGAGTGCGTGGAGCACCAGAGCACCTGTCCCCAGGACCTGTCTCTGGAGCAGATCGAGCAGGGCGTGGCCCAGGTGCAGCGCTGGCCTCGTGAGGGCCGGCCGGCTGTGGCCCTGGACAGTGGCGCAGCAGGTGGCCCACCCACGGAGCTCCCTGCAACCCCGAGGGACACAGCCACGCATGGGCCGGGAGCCACTGGGGAGCAGAAGGCAGCAGGAGCGTCTATGGCCACAGTGGTAGCGGCTGTAGGGAGCCCAGCTGACCAGGGAGCAGCCATGGTGCCCAGTGGGCCGGCACTGGAGGACTCTGAGGACGCCGGTGGCGCTGATTTCTGGCCATCTGACTGGGAGCTCAATGCGGAGGACTCTATCCTGCAGGAGCTCCTGGATGAGAGTCGGAATGTGACGGTGACAGTGCGCGAGGACGGGCTGCTGGACACAGTGACCGGGCCTGGGGCGTCGGCCCACCACTACACCAACCTGCCACACGCTGAGCTCCGCAGGCTGGCCCGAGCCGAGCCCCAGGCCCACCGCCGCTGCACCTTCCTGCAGGAGGCCTTCGGGCGTGCAACAGCCCTGGCGCTGGATGGGGGTGCACCAAGCACCTTCCAGATCAAGGGCCGCCTCCACTGTGGCATGGCCTTCACGGGGGACGAGGTGCTGGTGCAGGTGCTGGCGGGCACGGAGGTCGGTGAGCCCGACAGCCAGCCTCAGGGCCGAGTGCTGGGCGTGCTGAAGCGCTGCCGGCGTGAGTTGACCTTTGTGTGCAGGATGGACAGGTGGGACCCCCGCATCATGATTCCCATTGATGGCGCCGTGACCAAGATCTTTGTGGCTGAGCTGAAGGACCCGTTGCGGGTACCTATCCACCGCCTGCTGCGGGGCCGCGTGCAGCGCGTGGGGCACGAGCGGGTGCCGGTGGAGGCCCGGCGCATGCGGCTGTTCTGGGTGCGCATCGTGCTGTGGCGGGAGCGCTTCTACTACCCGCTGGGCATCATCCTGGAGGTTCTGCCCGAGGTCACCAGTTGGGAGAGTGGCCTGCGTGTGCTGGACCTGGAGTATGGCCTGCGAGAGCCCGCCCTCGACCCAACTGCTGCCTCTAAGGTGCAGCAGAGGTACCGCCAGGAGCTCGGGCGGGTGCCCGGCCTCCGGGAGGACTGCCGCGGCTTCCTGACCTTCACCGTGGACCCCCAGGGCGCTTGCAACCTGGACGACGCCCTCAGCGTCCGGGACCTGGGTCAGCAGTACGAGGTGGCCGTGCACATCACAGACGTGGCCAGCCTCCTGCCCCGGGACAGTCTGCTGGACGTGGAAGCCCGAGAGCGGGGCACGGCCTTCTACACCCCTGCCCGCGAGCCGGTGCCCATGCTGCCGGCCGGCCTGTGCCAGGACCTGCTCAGCCTCCAGCCAGGCAAGGACCGCCTTGCCATCTCCCTCTTCCTCACCTTTGAGAAGGACGGCGGTCAGCTGAGCGGCCAGCACTTTGCCCCCTCAGTGGTCCGATCTGACCACCAGCTGTCCTACGAGGAGGCTGAGCAGGTGATCCGCGCCCACCCGGGGGCTGAGTGGGAACCCCTGCCCCAGCTGGACACGCTGGACGCCTGTGTGGTGGTCGCCTTCCACTTCTCCCAGGCCCTGCGCCGGCGCCGGCTGGGCAGCGCCTGCCACTACGAGCCCCTGGATGAGGAGAGTGTGCCTGGCTTCCGCGCAGCCCACGCCATGATCCAAGAGTACATGGTTCAGTTCAACAGCAGTGTGGCTGAGTTCCTGGTGGGCTCTGAGCGCACGCAGACGGTCACGCCCCTGCGGTGGCAGCTGGCCCCCAGCAGTGCCCGCCTGGATGCCCTGAGCGAGAAGCTCCGTGGACTGGTGCCCCTGTCGCTGCACCTCCGCCAGCACCTGCAAGGCCAGGCCCTCGCTGGCACGAGGCTCTGTCTGCTGGCCTCTCTTTGGAGGCAGCTCCAGCTGGCAGCCAAGACCCAGGACTTCAGGCAGCTGGAGGACCTCATCGCCACTGACGACCTGCACCCCACGCTGGCCCCCGCAGGTCTCGAGCTCTGTAAGGCCCAGTGCCGCTCGGCCTTTGGCCGCTCCAGCCTTGGCAAGCAGCAGCCGGCTTCACACCACGCGCTGCAGGTGGCCTGGTACACCTGGGCTTCCTCCCCCATCCGCCGGTACATGGATGTGGTGCTGCAGAGGCAGCTCCTGCTGGCGCTCAGCCTCGGGGGCACCGCCTACTCGGCCAGGGACATTGATGCGCTCTGCCGAGACTTCGGACGCCAGCACGCGCGCGCCCAGAGCTACCAGCGCCGGGCCCATCGCCTGCACTTGGCTGTGGGCCTGCAGGCCTGCCCCCAGGACAAGCTGGGCTTCGCAGTGGACCTGGAGCAGGGGGCCCGCTGCTTCCGCGTGTTCTTCCCCACACAGAGCAAGAGCCTGCCCGAGCCTTGGCCCCTGCACTTCCGCAGCCTGCAGCTCGCCGAGCCCCCCCAGCACCGGGACGGCCTGCCCGGCCTGCGGCTTCGCTGGCACCGCCGCGTCTACTCGCTGCAGGCCAGTGAGCGCCGTGTCCCGGCACCCGGCGCCCTCCTGGACCCGCACACCCGGCCCGTGGACCCCGAGCTGTGGCGGCGGCTGCTGGGGCTGGTGGAGCAGCGGCGCTGGCCGGAGGCAGCCACCCTGGTCCAGGAGCAGGATGCCAAGCGGCCCTCGCCGCGCGAGCTGGGCTGCGTGTCTTGGAGCCGCTGCGGGCACTTCGTGGATGTGGTGCGGGCCCTGGGCCCTGGGGATGTGCTGCAGGTGCAGCTGGGCGCCTCCCTGCAGCAGGGTCTCCTAACACCGGCCCTGCAGCTGTGGACCGTGGCTCCCGGGCTCAGCCTGTGCCTACAGCACGTGGGGCAGCCCCGGGAGTGCTTCTCAGGCAGCACCCCGCAGGCTGCACCTGACCACTGCGCCACCGTGGAGGAGTACACGCGCGTGTGGGGCCCCTTCTGCACCCTCGAGTCACTCAGCAGCGCGGTGGCCGAGAATGACCCCATCACCCTGCAGCACCTGCCTGTGAGCTGGTTCTCAGAGCGGACACCTCAGGGCCACCTGCAGGGCTCCTTCCGCCTGGATCTGGCCTTCCTTCGAGAACACAGCCTGGAGAGCAGCTTCGGGCACTCCTACCTCTGTGTCCGACTGGAGGGGCTGCTGGCCATGCCCTGCGCTGGGGAGCCCCTCCACAGCCTGGGCCCCCACCTGAACATCCACCCCAGCACCTACACCTGGGTGGCCCACGGGCTGACTGAGGAGGACTGGGGCGCCGAGGAGGAGCGGGTGGGCCGGCAGGATGCCTGTCGGTGGGTGAGTTTCTACCTCCTCAGCATGGCCACTGAGAAGGTCCCCGAGGAGGTGCTGAGGCCTGACACCCTCTTCACCATCGAAGTGCTGCCCAAGCAACTCCCCGACCTGTGAGTGACTCTCCAGCCTGGGGGGATGTGGGCAGCACCCCCCTCCGTGGGATTTCAGCACCTTCTCCACTCCCCACTCCCCCACCCCCGCCCCCAGACGCAAGGAGGAAGCCCTGCACCTGCTGAAGAGACTGGACGCGTCCTCCCTGGCTGTCAGAATCGCCCTCGGCCTGCCCAGCCCCCAGGCCTCCCGCCACCCGCACCGAGGTGGGTCTGGAGGACGAGGCAGGGAGGCCTCAGGTCGGACTGGTTTCCTGACCCCCAGCCCTGGTGTTGGGCATCTGGGTGTCCTGCACCCCTGTCTGGTGTAAGGGTGTTTTGGCCGCCTGCACCCCCTATCCTGGTGTCCGGGTGTTTTGGCTTTCTGACCCCCATCTCGGTGCCTGCATCCCTTGTCTAGTGTTGGGGTGTTTTGGCCTCCTGCACCCTGTTGTCTGGTGTTGGGTGGCCTGGCCTCCTGTACCCCCTGTCCTGGTGTTGGGGTGACCTGGGCCTCCTATCCTCCTTTCGTGCCCCATTAGGGGCCCCCAGCATCTACCTGATGCGGCAGAACTATGATATGCATGGAGGCCGCCACAAACTGAACCCTAGCCAGAACTGTGCAGTACAGAAGGCTCTGCAGACTAGGTTCACGGTCATCCAAGGACCCCCAGGTGATGGCAGTGGGGAAAGGGAAGGGTGCGGTCTGGGGCGGGTGCTGCACTCACCACCCTTCCTCACCCCAGGCCTGGGGAAGGCGGACTGGCAGCAGGGGTGGGCGTGGGGGATAGGCCCTTCAGCTCACCACCTTGCCTACCCCCCAGGCACGGGGAAGACCGTCGTGGGCCTGCACATTGTGTTCTGGTTCCACAAGTCTAACCAGGAGCTGGGGCACGGCCAGGGATGCCCCTGCATCTTGTACTGCGGCCCCTCCAACAAGTCGGTGGATGTGCTGGCAGGTGTGTGTGTGTGGGGGAGACCCGGGGCCCTGCTGGGGCTGCAGGGGCGAAGCCTCACATCCCCGATGCCCCAGGGATGCTGCAGCACTGGCGGAAGGAGCTGAAGCCTCTCCGCGTGTACAGCGAGCAGGCCGAGGCCTCGGAGTTCCCGGCCCCGAGCCTGGACAGCAGGAGCCTGCCCAGGAAGAGCCCTCGGGAGGGGAAGCCCAACTGGAACCTCAGGTGGGCCTCGCTGCGTAACAGGGTGGGGCAGGGCGGGGTGAGGGCAGATGACGTCACAGAGACCCTCCCCCAGGAACATCACCCTGCACCACCGGATCCGGCAGGCCCCCAACCCCTACGCGGCGGTCCTTCGGAACTTTGACAGCCGGGTGCAGAATCAGGACAGCTTCTCTGTGGAGGACATTGACCAGTAAGTGGCTGGCTGGCCGGGGCGTGAGGCTGTCTCAAGCATGGCATCCCAGCCTGACCAGGCCACACACCCCGGACAGGTACAAGAAGACCCTTCGTAAGGCCCGGCGGTATGAGCTGGAACGCCACTCGGTCATCCTGTGCACCTGCTGCTGCGTGGCCTCAGCCAGCCTCAAGCACCTGGACGTCCGGCAGATCCTGATCGACGAGGCGGGCATGGCCACGGAGCCTGAGACCCTCATCCCCTTGGTGCACTTCCCGCAGGCCCAGAAGGTGCCCTAAGGGAGACCCCCACCCATGTGGCTGCCAGCAGGGGATCAGGGTGCAGTGGTGAAGGCCGGTAGGGTGTGTAGGGTGCACGGGCTCACAGGCCTCCCTGCAGGTGGTGCTGCTGGGAGACCATAAGCAGCTGCGGCCTGTGGTCAAGAGTGAGCACCTGCAGAACCTGGGGCTGGACCGCTCCCTCTTTGAGAGGTACCAGAGCGATGCCCACATGCTGGACACACAATATCGCATGGTGAGTCTCCCCGCCTCCCCTGCCGTGGCCTTGGCCGGGACCCAGGGCTCCACAGGTGGGTATGCGGGGCCACCACCCCACTCACCGACATCCCCTGCAGCACCAGGACATCTGCGCCTTCCCCTCGGCTGAGTTCTACAAGGGCAAGCTGAAGACCTTCCAGGGCCTGTGCCGGCCGGCCAGCATGCTAGGCCATGCGGCCAGGGCGAGCTGTGCCGTCATCTTTGGACATCTGCAGGGCCACGAGCAGAGCCTGCTGGTGTCCACGGAGGAAGGGAATGAGAACTCCAAGGCCAATCAGGAGGAGGTGGTGCAGGTGGTGAGTGAGGGCAAGCTCCTACCTGGGCCTCTGTACTGGGGCTGGGTTTAGCGATTTTGGATGGGGCTTCGGGCTCCCTGGAGGAGGAGGAGGGCGGGCAGTCAGGGGCTTCCTGGAGGAGGGGGAGGGCAGGGAGTCAGGGGATTCCTGGAGGAGGAGGAGGGCGGGGAGTCAGGGGCTTCCTGGACGGGGAAAGAGTGGGGCGTGTCTTGGAGGCTTCGAGGGCTATGGCGGCATCGTGGCTGTTGGCACCGTCTGCTGTCCCTCAGGTCCGCATTGCCAAGCAGCTGACCTTGGACCGGAAAGTGGAGCCCAAGGACATGGCCATCCTCACGCCCTACAACGCACAGGTGGCCGAGATCAACAAGCGGCTCTCCCGGGAGGGCGTCCCGGGAGTGACTGTGGCCTCCATCACCAAGAGCCAGGGTGAGGCCCCGTGGGAGGGGAGGCGCCCACCTCATGGCAGGTGGGCGGGCGTGCTGAGGGCCTGGGCCTCACTGCCTGCCCACCCCCGACGCCTTCCAGGGAGCGAGTGGCGCTACGTGTTGGTGAGCACTGTCCGCACGTGCCCCAAGAGTGATATCGACCAGAGGCCCACCAAGAGCTGGCTCAAGAAATACCTGGGCTTTGTCGTGGACCCCAACCAAGTGAACGTGGCCCTCACGCGAGCGCAGGAGGGGCTCTGTCTGATTGGTGAGGACCGCCCGGTGGGCGGGGCTGACCGGGTTGGTGGGGCGGGGCCACACTGACTCCTCCCCTTCCAGGAGACCACCACCTCCTGCGTTGCTGCCCTCTCTGGCGCCGCCTGGTGGACTTCTGTGAGGAGCAGCAGAGCCTCGTGCCTGCCCACCTGGTGCAGGTCAGGAGGCGGCCAGCACACCTATTGCCCTGAGCAGCCAGCATCTCCTTCCCGGCCTGAGCGCAGAGGACGCGCTTCCCCTCCTGTGCCCCCCGGGGCGCCTCACTCAGAGGATCCCACGTGCCTTTACTGCCACCCGGCGTGTCCTGGCCGGGCTGCAGTCCGGGGCTATGCCAGGCACCATCCAGCAGGGTCGCCATGTTGCCCTACTCCCAGGTCTGGACGGCAGGACCAGCGCCTATGAGGCAGCTGCTGCACCTGTGTGTGGTGCCGTCAGCAGCCACACTGGGCAGTGTCCACGGAGACCAGCTTTGACTTTGCTTTTTAAATCGACCAAAAGCCAGTACTTTTCCTCTTTTTACTGGAATAGGGACCGTAGCTCCTGCTCAGGACAAGGTGGCCACCCTGGACAAGCAGGCCCTTTTCCAGCCACCGCTGCCTGAGTCTGACTCTGGGACCCACAACCCCACCCGGGGGCTGCGGGGCAGGGCACTGGCAGAGCAAAGCCAGACCCGCACCAGCTGCTGCCCTCTGGGCCCCGGGAGCAGGGGTGTGCTGGCCAGGGCAGGCCCAGAGCTGCCGCCCCACCTCTGACCTCAGCCTACTCTCAGGGCTGGGCCTTTGAGACAATCAGATGGGCTGTCTTTGTGGGTTGGACAGGAAGCTGCCCCTTTGGATCCAGCCCATGCCCTGTGTTTGGGCCCTGCCCAGCCCTCCCTGTGGGCAGCTCTGCTCCTATCTGGGAACATGTGTGCAGGCACATTCCCGCTGGCCTGGAACCCCCTTCTGGGCTGGATGCTGCACTTTATGAGCGAGCTGAGATGGGTGGGGGCCCCTTGAGGCGGAGCAGGGTGGAGGAAGCGGTGTGTGCAGCCTGATTCTGTTCTTTTTACCAATCAAATTCTACATTCCAGCCTCTGTCCCTCTCAGCCTGCAGTCTCTGACAGAGAACCGCTTAATAAAGGCACCGCTGAATGCCCTCCTGTCTGGGTAGTCTGAGGGACGGGGCAGCCAGGGGTCCTCCTTTTGCTCTGCAGCTGGGCAGTGGCCATCACAGTCTTCAGAATGCTGGACAGTCAGGATATGGGGGATGTGGCACCATGCAACAGCTGAGGAATGGGCGCCTCAAGTTGTCTGTGCCATTATGGCAGGAGGCTGGTGCCAAGGGTGTCTGTGGGGTCAAGTCCAAGGGGCGTTGGTCTAGCACTGGGTCTGAAGTGACTCCCTGGTGCTTTAGCGATGCCCATTCTCGCCAAACTAGTCCTTCGCTACCTGGCCTAGACCAGGGTAGACCGGCAGGTGGTGCTCAGCCTGTGAGGGGAAGGGGAGGGGGTGGTCAGAGGGCTGGGTTCTGGCCCTCAGGCCTCCAGCCCCAGGATCAGGTGGGTAAGAGTCAACAGCAGAGGAACAGGGTAGGTGGTGGGCAGGGTCTGCCATCTGCCTGTCCACTGCCCACCGCAGGTCTCCGGGAAGGGGCTGCCCCGAGGGCTTGGGGCCTGCTTTCCAAGGGGGCTTTGAGCCCTCACTGAGCCTCAGACAGGATCCCTGGGGGTGGGGCATCTACCAGGCACTGTGGGTGGATGGGCCATGGAAGAGGACCCCGACCCTGAAAGAGGATCCCTACCCTGACCTGTGTGCCCACCTTCCTGAACCTCAGGGTCACCAATCTCTTTGTGCCTTGAGTCCCATCTCCTCTCCACTGTGCCTGGCCCTTGATACCACCCACAAGCCCAGGGTCTCCTCCCTCCCAGCACCTGCTGTGAGCCCTCGGGCCTGCCCCTTAAATTGCCTGGTCCGGAGATGGTGGGATCTTGTGGGACACTGGGGAGCGAGTCCCCAGAGGCACCCTGCCAGGCACAGTTAGGTTTGAGTCTCTGGGTGCCAAACAGGCCTGCTGAGGGTGAACTTGAAGCTGCAGAAACGGGGCGGGGGTGGGGAACCCCTCACTGCGGGGTGAGGCCTTTTGGAGGCTGTTGGGGTTGGGATGCCCGTCCTTCTCCGGCAGTCTCCGTGAGTGAGTCGGAAATGGCTCAAGCACGCAGACTAGCTGGTGGGCGGACAGCAGCCGAGAGGCGGCCATCGTGCAGTAGCATGGGCACTTGCCACTGTCTGTCCAGCTCACCCGCTTGGGGACAGAGTAACCTTCAGCTTCTCCGGCCGAGGGGATGGGACTTAGGTTGCCATTTTACAAGTCAAGTTTTTGGTGGGGCCCCCTAGCTTCAAGGCATCTGAGACTGGCCTTGAGTGTCTGCACACAGCCAAGCAGACTCCTCACGGGCTGCCTGGGTTCAGGTGTGACACTTGGGACTGGCCAGGTTCTCGAGATGGGGTCCCAGGCCAAGGTACTGGGCTGGTGCTCCCTGGAGGCACAGGCTGGGGTTCCTTGGGGAGGGTCCAGGGCCCCTCAGAAGGCAGCCGAGTGGCTGTAGGTGGCCCGTGTGTGTATACTGCTCTTTATTCGTGGATAAATACGAGGAAATCATCTGTCAGAGGGGGCGGTTGGGGGTGGGATGGGTAGGCCCCAGCGGCAGGGGACGGCCCCCTCGGTGGGGGCCGGCTTGGTGTGCAGGGTCAGGCTGTCCCGCCAGGGCTCATATACCAGCATGTAGCTTTCCGCCCTCTTGATAGTGAACTTGTAGGCACGGTTGGGCAGCAGGTTGTGGACATCAAAGGCGCAGGCAGCCACGGGGATGAGGCCACACTGCGTGCACTCCTGCTGGGTCCTCGGCTCCAGGAGCTTGAAGCGCAGCTCGAACTGCTCGGGTGCGGCTGGCTGGACGGTGACAAACCAGCGCAGGCTGACCCAGTCCTGGTGGGCTATGGACTCCTTACGGTCAAACATGACGGGCATCTTGGTGCTCAGCATGAGCCGGATGTGAGGGACCTTGGTGGCACCGATGTCCGTCACCAGCCGGTGCTTAATGTGCAGCCGGCCCGGCACCATCATGGCCAGGAAGTTGTCCATGACAGCGGCCAGCTCTGACAGCCGTCGCTCCACGTGTCCCCAGCCGGCCAGGAAGGGCCTTGGGTCGGGTGACTCGAGCAGGGTGTCCAGCTGGGCGCGGCCACGGTCCAGCTGCTCCAGCAGGTCTCCGAGCAGCAGGAGCTGGATCTTGGTCTGCGCGGTGCCCACCCTCTTCATGCGCTGGAACTTCCAGGGGTCGACAAACTGCAGCATGGTGTTGGGCAGCGCCAGCGGGTTCTGGTCGCCCAGAGCCAGGTGCTTGGGCAGGACCTCCAGGTAGTAGGAGCACTTCTGCAGCAGCTCCACGCGGGCGTGGTGGCGCTTGAGCAGGTGTGGGCTGAGGTCGGAGGTCAGGAACTCGCGTAGTGCTGTCCGGCGCTCCACGTAGGTCCTCCAGGCCTGGGGCTCCAGCAGTTGGCCCTCCTCCCCCTCCTCTGCCTCCTCCGAGTCTGGGACGGCGCGCACACTATCCAGCTTCCTCTGGTCCAGGCCCAGGCCTGGTATCGGGAAGTTCATGGTCTGGGAGCTGGGGATGGGCCCAGGAGGGGGCGTGAGGTGAGGAGTGCCCCCCCCACCCCAGCCTCCCTGCCCTGGGGGTCCTTTCTGCCCACTGTCTTCGCGTGGGGGCTCTCTGGGGAGCAGCTCCTGGGCCCCATGCTCTGTGCAGACCAAGGACTAGGCCAAGATGGGCAGTCAGCGCTGTGGGGTCTGGGCTCTTGAGGACCAGTAAGAAGGGGCTTCATGGCCGGGAAGAATCACTGCCTCTGAGACCTTTGGCCAGAGCGGCGAGACCCTCCCTCAATTCACGGGCAGGCTGAGGCATTAAGCCCGGCAGTCTGCTCACAGGAGTCCTGCGCCCCAGGCTCTACCTGGGGCGAGGTGGAAGCGGCCCCCAGGCCCCCGCCCGAGCCAGGCTCTGAAGAGGGTGGGCTGCATTAGCTCCTGCGGCTGGTGCAGACCCTCATCCCCTCGGATCCGGCCAGGTGGGGAGCGTTGGGGCTGGGACAGCCTCCGGGCTGGAAACCGCCGAGGGGCTGGGCA